CTGGAAGGCATCGTGTTTGTTGATGGTGAGAGGACCCCAAACTGCCATTCAAGGATTCCGGGAGTGAACAGAAGGGACTTTCATCAAATCTCTGCAGGATGTCACAGGACAGAGAAAGTACGCACATTTACTCTGTGGGGCCCCATGAGATGGCATAGGCAAAGTACAGGGAGGTTGAGTAAAGGAAAAACTCTGGTCAATCTGTCCAAAAGAGAGGCCAGAAGTTGGAGAAGTGGTGAGCTATCTGTCACAGAGGGTATCCAAGTGATACATGCTATGGATCCCCTTATCAGCTACTTGGAAGGCCATTGTGGATGGGAACACAATTGGGCCATTTTCAAGGTCACTGACACCTCTAGGATCCCTGGATATTTGCTCCTGAATGCACAGAAGCCACCTCATTCACTAATAATTATTTCACTCATTCATTCATCCTAAAGAGGTCTTTCAAGCATCTCTGAAGTATGGAGCCAGCATTGGGTTCTGGAGATACAGTCATGACTAAGATCCTACGCTTTCCCTGGAGGAGCCCATGGCCAAATTGAGAAACAGAATTAAATTATTAGATGCAAAGAAGTCCATCTAATAATAGAAGTGGCTGGCTCTAAGTGGGGATGCAGTGGGGTGAAGGAGAGTGAACAGAGAAGACTCCACAAAGAAGATGCTTACACTGGGTTTTGAAGGATATGTAGGAGTTTGCCAGATGAATTCAGATGAAAGGGAATTTCAGGCAAAGGGAACAGCATGTGAAAAGTCTTATAAGTTTTAAACACCTTATAACCAACAATATAGATATAAGGGCCAGAAGTGAGGCTGTAGGGGCATTTGGGGTGAAGTCATTAAGGACCTAAAGAATTTGAAATTTGTCCTGAAGGCAATGGCAAGAGGAGTAACTGGGTCCTATTCACATTTTAGAATGATCTCTCTGATTACAGTGGAGAATGGATTGGAGGGCACAAAACCAAAACAAAAGGAACCAATGCGGAGAATTGTGGGAAAGTATTTTAAAGTCACTATTTGCAAAAATCATGGCTGCATAGTAGTATCACGTGGGGAGCTTTAAACACTACCAATGCCTATGTCCCACCCCAGATAGTCTGACTTAACTGGCCTTCAGGAGGACCTTGGTTTTGGGAGTTGTAAAGCCTCCCCAGGTGATTCTAGTGTGCAGTCATAAAGAGACCTTAAGATAACTATCACAAACCCTGGCACATAGCAAGTACTCAACACAGTTTTGTTTTGTTTTTTTCAAAAAATTAGTATGAAAACAGTCATGCTGTCCTGCTTTTGGCTTCACCCCACTTTCAAGGGGACATAATTTGGATGAACAATTGGCTTTTATCACAGAGGGTTTCAGGTACAGAATCCACCCTCAAAAGATCAGCTTCGACATCCAGAAATCCAGCGCTACCACTGAGAGCAGGAACTTCCCTTCACATACAGAGAATAGACCTGCCAAACTGCCTGGAAGAGCTGGAGCTACCTGGCTGGGATAGAGGGTGGGGCTAGGGCTAGAATCTGAGTTCTAAGAGTTACCTGCAGCAGCTGGAAGCATCTTCCATCTAGAGATGGCCTAAACTGGTGGCAAGATGGATGCAGGGTTTGGTAAAATGAGGAGCAAGAAGAGAAACAGGAAAAGGAGATGAATGAGAAAGAACCAGGGGAGAAAAGTGAGGGATAAGCCCCACATTTGTAAAATGAGCACTTACCTATCCTTATAACATTTTTGCCATATCCAGATTTAGGTCAGAGATTGGTGCCCAAAGCCTAGCACCTGTTTTGCTTCTCTTCCAGGGTGTTTATCTAAGGGCGTTGGACACACAGAGCAAAATTATGACCCATTCATAGCTATTAAGGTACTTTATTATCCCTTATAATCTAAACCCTGAGAAAGGCTAATTTGTAGAACATGGCTCAGCCTGAGAACCCCAGGCAAGGAACTCCTTCCTGCGCCCTGTAATGAATCTGAAATGGCTAAGCAGCAGAATGAGCACTAATTCCACCTGCTCAATCATTGCATGGATGAGGATCATAGTCATGCTTCTAGCATAAAGGTCAGCACGCTATAGCCGCAGGCTAAATCCAGCCCAACACTTATTTTTGTAAATAAGGATGTATTGGAACACAGCGATGCCCATTTGTTTGCTTTTTATCTGTGACTGTTTTCACTCTACAGCAGTAGAGTATGAGTTGTTGCAGCAGAGACTACGCAACCTGCAAAGCCCAAACTGCTTTCTAGTTGACCCATTACAGAAAAAACATTCCAACTCCCACTGTAGGAAAAGACTCACCTAGGTTGATTTAACACTTGAGAGACCAGATGCAAGAAAGGTAGAACTGTGCATGAGCACTGACCTGCTCAGAACCTGCCAATAAAACAGGGCTTATTGAGGGGTTGACTTTCTGATCAACCTGGTTACATGTTCCTTCTTGCTCAGGGTGGACCTAGTAAGGAATAGATGGGCAAAGGCAAGGCTGGTGTATTAAGATGGATGGCGGGTTCTCCTCCTGCCCTGCTGACAGAGAGCTGTGTAGAATGAAGGTGTTGTAAAGTCAGTCTCAGAGGTAATGCAAGGGCATATGGAGGATGTTCAGCCTATTCTACTAAAGGCAGGCTAGAGAGAGTAATCAAAATGTGGTCTGATCATCATGCTTCTGCGGCTTTTCTATAGCCGTTTCCACACCCTTAACTGCCCATCCTCTCTATGAAATAACTGACTACACCCTCCCCTGTATTTCCATGCCACTTGGCTCATAACTCTTGTAAATCATCCCACATGGTTGTTGACTTGTCTGTCTTATCGATGGTTGCCCTCCTCTTAAAGTGACTGATGATTTCTATCTCCTCCCTACCTCTAAGCTCTGGGTGTCTGTGTCCAACTTCCTATTTGACATCAGCTTGGATGTCTAGTAGATCTCTCAAACATGGCTGCCATTATTTGTATTTTGAGCATTTTTTTTTTTAAAAAAAGTATGCAGTATTCAGTGCTAGGCACTCTTCTAAGCACTTTATGCACTCAGAACACAACACTTAATTCTTGCCTCTCCAATCCTGTTTCTGTCCTAGGCTTTTCCATATCCATACATAACACCCCTCTCCACTCCGTTCTGCAAACCAGCGATCTAAGGGTCAGCCTTCATTCCTCTCTGTCCCTCACAGTCGGCGCCTATGGCAGATGTGTTGGTGCCCTGTACACATCCTGTCTACACTCACTGTTTCCATGCTTGCCCACCTGATGGCTTCCTCCTGTAAACACCTGTGACTTTTTGCCTGAGGGCTTCTTCAAGACAGAAGAATATGCACACTCTGTCCACAGATCATGGAAGAAGTGCTGGGGAGTTCCCAGGAGTTGTCCTCAACCAATACTCGATGAGAATTGATGAATAACTACCCCAACTTCGCACTCCCCCATGGTGGGACAACTCTGAGGCATGAGATGTGCCCATTGGATTATACCCCGATTGTGCACAGTGGCAACCTGCTCATTGATGTGCCCTATATTGACTTCATTCCCTGGATTGTGCCACTGCCACATTCTCCCACCCAAACTTCTTGGGATTGCCTCCCAAACAATTTACTTGTGCCTGACTTCTTATCTCTGAGTCTGCTTCTGAGGCAACCCAAGTCAATAATATTCAACTGAACATCCTGCTCACATCACTTCTCACACGTCCACCGCCACCACCCTGGTCTAAGAGTCCATGGTACCATCGTGTGTTGCCTGGAGTACTACCACAACTTTCTAGCAGATCTCCTTGCATCCTCCATGGCCCTCCCAGAGCCTGTGTTCCATACGTGAGCCACAATGTACTTGGTAATATATGAATCTGATCAGACGATTCCCCTGCCCAAAACCCCCTAATTTTTTTTTATCACACTTAGAACAATGCCCAATTCATTAACCAGTAATAGCAATGCCTTATATAATCCAGCCTCCCCCATCTACTGTAGATACTTCCATCACTACTTCTCCCCTCCCCACATCACTCCATTCCTTGAATATTGTCGTTTGCTTTCTGCCTGACCATCTTTGCACCTGCTGTTCCCTCTGCCTGAAAAGCACTTTCTACTTTCCTTGGTGTGAGTTGCTGTCCCATATTAAGGAATTACACTATCATGAAGGAATGACAGTGTCTATTATTAATGAAGTCCCCCTTATCTGCAGTTTTGCTTTTCATGGTTTCAGTTACCCAAGGTCAATCACAGTCAAAAAATATTAAGATATTTAGAGAGAGAGAAAGACTGCATTTATATAACATATTATAGTATATTATTGTCATCATTCTATTTTATAATTATTCTTAATCTCTTACTGTGCCTAATTTATAAATTGAACTTTATCATAGGTATGTATATGTGAGAAGAAAACATAGTATACATAGGCTTCGGTACTACCCATGGTTTCAGGAGTCCCCACTGGGGGATCTTGGAACAAATCCTCCAAGGATAAGGGAGGACTACTGTAACTTAAATGCTACCTTCTTGGAGAAGCCCTCCCGGAGTGTATAATCTGAAATAATTCTCATTCCTCATCACTATCCCTTTATCCTGCTTTATTTTCATCACAGCATTTTCATATCTAAAATTTAACATTTTTTTTCATTTGCTACATTTTCTGGCTTGCTGGAAACTCAAGGGGAACTTGTCTGTTTGTCTTCATCCCTAGTACCTAAAATAGTGCCCAGCCCATGTTAGGGGCTCAGTAAGTATCTGTTGAGTGTGTGAATGAATAAATCAGTGAAGGGACAAGCGATTTCCTGAACAGGACTAGATTGTAAACTCATGACGCTGAAGACATCAATTACATATGAAACCATGAACAAGAAAGGTCCATGGACAGACCAAAATCTACATTCTCCCCAGGCCCCATCCAAGGGCATCTGTCCCTTTCCACTACAAGTTCCATTGCAGTGGGTCTCAATTCTGTCTATTGGTTCATCTCCACCTCGATAAAGCCCCTATCTCAGGCCACTCTAACCACTCTGTCCTTGCTTTTTAGGCCTTACCAGAGGGGCAGACAGCTTCGTGGGACACAGCCAAGGAGGATGAAAACCGCAATAAGAATCGATATGGGAACATCATATCCTGTAGGTGCCCTTCTGGGAGTTCCTAAGCTTCAGGTGTTGAGAACATCGGGGAAAAGAGGCTATTACTAGTATTTACCTGGAATTTGTTATCAAATAATCTTTGATGTCTCCAGCTTTGTGTCCACATGTCAAGATGGAAGCTTTATTTCAGTCTTATTGTCATCCCTAGACTGGATGACAAAGCATGGCTGATCTCAGCCGGAGGGAGCAGGCAGGGAGCTGGGTCAGGGCAGAGCAGAGCCATGAAGCCTCTTGGGGAAGAACCTCTGAAGGCTGGGTCTCACTGAGCATTGCCTGCTCAATTCCTCAGGTCGGGGAGGAAGCCCAGCCAAAAGGGCTGCCATACAGAAGACCCCACAGCTGGACAAAGAGATGAGCTCTGTGTTCCCAGAAGCTCCTCTAATTCAAAGGAGGACTTTGGCAGCAACCAGGGGTGAGGAGCATGGGCCCCAGCCTGAGAGGGAGGGGCCAGGAGCACCTGGACAAGAGAATGGTGCTCCTCCAAGGAGGAGGAGTCACATTGGCTGATGCTTGGAAGTAAAGGTTGATACTCAGGAGAAGCCAGTAACTGGCATATACCTGAGTCTTGGGGTATGCCCAACTCAGGCCCCACAGGAGCCCTGGGCTACTCCTACCACATGAGAGACAGGGTTCAGGGCAACACAGATTCTACCTGACCCCACTATAGGAGGGCAGGCCTCAAAGGTGAAGGCTGCTCCCAGGTCTGCCTCAGTGCAGCTCTGGAGGTACTGAGGCTGCAGGGAGAAAGTGCATTCTTAGGCAGAGCTAAGGAAGGACATCGCCTTTGCTCAGCAATGAGTTTCACCTTTCCCATAGGCACCCCCAGGAGTGACTCATTGATGAAGTCAGTGGTGCAGAGCAGTTAGTTACCACCCTCTGGAGTCAAACTGCCCAGGTTTCTATCCCAACTGTAGGGCCCTGGGAAAGTTACTTGACCTCTGTCAACTTTAGTTTCCTCCCCTTTAAAATGATGACGATAATAAGGTCAATGCAAAAAGGTCCATAAAACTCTCGCTACAGTGCCTGACACCATTACTCTTAGCCACAGGGTTACTTTCTTGAGGTCACTGATTAGCAGCATAAATCTATCATTCCACCTTATCTTATTAACCCGAATTCACCGAGTACTCGGGACATGTCCTGTGGGGACATGGAATAAGGCAGGCTGGTGGGGAGAGGTGAGCGTGATCAGATATCCATTTTGGAAAGATCACTAAGGTAGCAGATATGGAAGGGGAAGGCTGCTAGCAGAGGATCAGTCAGCAGGCCCCTGCAATAGTCTTACTAAGGGATGATGGGGCCCGAACAAAAACAGTGACAGTAACTTGTGTGTGACAGGTGCATAGTATTCAGTTCTGGGAGGTGAGGAAGAGAGAGACTGCCACAGAACTGAATGCCACGCATAGGAAACACACAAGTATTGTCACTGCCAAATATTGGTAGGTACAGCCTTCAAAGTAGCATAAATACAGAGAAGGCAAAGTTATCTCGTACAAAACGCTAAGCATGTATTCTGATTAGAACAGGAGTCTACGACAGCCTTTGTCTGACTCAGTGTTACCAACCTGCACCTTTTGACATCTCACCAATGGTGTGAGGAGCATCTCCTGGTCTCAGCTCACAGAGTAACCCAGTTCATCCAAAAGAAAAAAAAAAAAGAATCCTGAATGACAAGTTATTTCTAGCACAATTCAGAGTTTTGTTTTGTTTTGTTTTAACTGTCTAGACATTGCCTAAGAAAAAACTTGGAGGAAGAAAGAGTAAGATCCAGGCAGATTGTAAAGGAAGAAAAAGGCAGAAGTTTTAGCTTAGCTGTTTCCTGTGCTGATTTAGGAATGGGCTATGAATGGTAGAACTAATCAGAAAACATTTATAATTTGTCTCTTGGAAGATGGTAATTCAGACAGTAAGATTTCTTGCAAGTGAAGTGTTGAGAAGCGATATTCAAACAATCAGCAAACATGTATTAAGGCTTGTGACATGGGGCCTCCTCTAAGCAGGCCCTGTGATGGGCATTCGGGGGTGCAGTTCCTGCTCCTGGGGAGCCCCCACCCCGACACAGGGAACTGCTTGCCCTGACTGGTCCCTGGTATTCTTTGCTCCTGCACTGTGTATACTGTGCCCTAAAATATATAGTCACTTATCTATTCTTCATATCAGACTGTGAGTTCAGATAGGGTCTATAAAATTATATGTGACCTTAGTCAATCACTCTAACTCCTAGTCTCTGTAAAACAGGTTTTAAAATGTCTTTTTCCTAGGGATGTGGCACAGATAAGAAAAAAATGACGGCCCGGCACAGTGGCTAACGCCTGTAATCTCAGCACTTTGGGAGGCTGAGGCAAGCAGATCCGTTGAGCTTAGGAGTTCAAGACCAGCTTAGGCAACATGGCAAAAACTCATCTCTACAAAAAGTACAAAACATTAGCTGGGCGTAGTGGTGCATGCCTGTAGTCCTAGCTACTCAGAGGGCTGAGGTGGGAGGATCACTTAAGTCTGGGAGGTGGAGGCTGCAGTAAGCCACGATTGCATCACTGCATTTCAGCCTGAGTGAGAGAGTGAGACTCTCTCTTAGGAAGGAAAGAAGGAAGGGAGCAAGGGATGAAGGGAGGGAAGGAGGGGGGAAGGGGGAAAGAGGGGAAGGGAGAAAGCAGGGAGGGAGGAGAAGAGGAAGGAAAGGGAAAAAAGAGAAAGAAAGAGAGAACATTTAAAAAAATGACTAGAGCCCAGTAAAGGGACCCTGAATCCTTGGGAGACTTAGATACCCACCCAGGCTGGGCTACCTATCCAGCCCAAGCCCAGGGTGGCCTGAGGTCAGAAGGCATGCTCTGTATCTCCCCTGGGCTGCCACGCAGCAGCCTGCCCCAAATCATCATCAGCTCTCACTTGACATTGCCCAGCCTCCTTTCTGGTTGCTCCACAGCTAATTTGTCCCCAACTTTTTGCCTGTCTGATCCCTGATAGAAGCCAGAAAAACTTCTTTGAAACATGAATTGAATGATGTCATTTTCCTACTGAAAACCCTTCAAATGATATTCCTTCACTCTTCAGTTTTCCCGATAGAAAGGCCCTCGGCTGTCTTTCCAGTCTCATTTCACACTCTATTGCAGCCTCCTCCATGAAGCCACACTGGCTTTCCTTCAGTTCCTTGAGCTCCCCATCCCCTTCCATGTGACAGGGCCTTTGCACATTCTGTTCTATTAAAGTGCCCTTCCTTCCTCTCTTTGACCTCCTAAGGTCCATATTTTCTTCAGATCTCAGCTCAGTCATCCCTTGCTTAGGGAATTCTTCTGATCCTTCAAATATGTTCAAACCCTACTATTCACTCCTAGAGCACAATGTCTGTCTTCTTAGCCTTCGTCATTATTGTGGCTTCACAGGCATTTGGAGGAAGGTTGATGCCCGTGTCCATCGCTAGACTAGATGCTCCGTGGCGGCAGGACCACGACCGCCTTCCACTTCGGTTTCCTCCCACCTGACCTATAGCTGGTGCCCCGTTAATAGGAACTGAATGTGGGAGAGACTCTAAAGGGCATGAGCAGTGGCCTCTTGTCTCTGCTTCCCAACTATTATAGAGAACACTCGGAAACGAGGACTGGGGAAAGCTGGGCTGCATGGCACTTGGAACAAGGACGTTCCAGTAAGGAAGAAGATACGGAGCCTGAATGGAGAGTGGTGAGATGGGGCACAGGAGACACAGAAGGACAAGAACAGTCTAACCCCTCTGAGAGCTGCTTCTGAGAAGGCAGGATTCCAGGAAGTCAGGAAAAATAATGAAGGAGATGAGAACGCCAGCACTGGGACTGCAGAAGGTGTCATCAGTGTCCCACCTACTTCCCACGGCCTCACTGCCTCACTGTGAGCAGCACCCAGCTGGCAGGGTGGGTGTGCAGAGCCAGGATGAGGGTGAGACATGCAGGGAGATACCCACGCTCAGCTGTTGACCCTGCATGGGCACAACTCTGGGAGCGCACCCCTCCTTAAAGCCCATGCCTGAGGCTCTGAGCTCATTTCACCCTAGCCCTGCCCTGCCTGCATCTCTTAGACTGAGGACTTTCTCCAAAGCTGGGAAAGGAGGCTCTGCCCAGGCCTAGGCAGCCTGCAAATCCTGAAGGGTTAATACCCCCAGGAGAAGCCCTCCACCACGAAATACCCCAGGTTCTTCACCGTTCCCCTGAAGCATATGTTCTCCACCTTCCCCCAGAGTTCCCACAGGGATGAGGATGCAGCTACCTGTGGTCCTAATGGGCTTGAAAACTCACCCTTAATAAGCTGCCTTCTCTTCCCTGTCATGCATCCCCCCTTTCCGACTGGTATTCCTGTCTCCTCCTACATAAACTGCTTGGACTAAAATCTCTGTCTTAGATCTACTTCTGAGAAACCCAAATGGAGGCAAAGAGAATTCAAGCATCTTGACCATACCACTTTGATGGGTTTAAATCAACCAGAATCTTTCTAATTTAAGGGTCAATAATTCTGCAAGAGATCAGGGCCAGAGCAGGTCTGCATTCAGTGCTGAAAGGGGACAGTGCCGAGGTAACCAGTGAATTCAGAAAGCAGCACAAGACATAAAGGGGAATAAAGAAAAAAAAGAAAATGATAAAAGAAAAAAATAAAAACAACCCTGGAATTGAAATGGGATATGTAAAAAAGAAACAGCCCCAAGGAATGGAAAGTGTTCCTGCCCTTGTATGTGTCCCTCCCAAAGGCAAAGCCTGCCGCAGCTCGATAAATAGAAATATTCTTGGTGCAAGAAGAAAACTGGCTGTGATTAGCATCTTAAGGAGCCCAGAGCACTGCCAGGCTGGAGTGGGGGACAAAGGCCCAGGCCAGGGAGAACAGAAAAGATTAAAGGGGACGAGTAGGAGGGGGGCACTGCCTGCAAATGAAACAACGAGAGACCTTGGCGAAATATCCCCTTTCTTCCGAGTGATTCTATTTAGAATTTAGTAATAGAGACAGTGGGGTTTCTAGGGAGTGGAAATGGAAAGGAAGTGAAAGGGAAGGAAATGAATGGGTAAAATAAGAACAAAGAGTCCTTTGCTTCCAAGTAACTCTAGGGCAGAGACTTGGCAAGGGGAAATTAAAGAATCCCAAAGCCTTCTCCATGTAAAGTTTTAGAGGTGCTTTCTGGACTGGCAGGAAGGAGCTGAGGCTGAGAAGAGGGAAGGATCACAGGGTTGCGAATGTTACGAAATGAGGCCCCCTTCTGGGGTCAGTCAGGATCCCAACGGGAAACAGATGGGACCCTCCAATAGGGTAGTTAGAGGAGAATTAAGACGTTCTTTATAAAGGTGTAATTTAGATGTAGAAAGACTACGAGGGGTCCAGGCATGGTGGCTCACAATTGTAATCCTAGCACTTTGAGAGACTGAGGTGGGTGGATCACAAGGTCAGGAGATCAAGACCATC